CCTCCCGGGGCCGCGGGGCCGCCCGCGCCCGCTGCCGGAGTGGGTGGCCCCACGGGGCTCTTGAGTTCAGTCTCCAGTAGGCTGTACATGGCCGGGGCAGGCAGGAGGTGCGCCAGCGTGGCGGGAGGAGAAGGCGCTCCCGGGGCGGGAGCGGCCACGGTGTAAAGGCCCGGGGACTCCGTCGGAGGGGCGTTCGGGGGCCGGAGGGCCGGTGGGGCGGGCCGGAACAGCAGGCTTGCAGAAGTGCCTCGCGCCAAGCCGGCGGGTTCCCGCAGACTACTCGCACCTGACGCGTTGGCTGGAGCTGGTGACCTCGGCTGCCTGGCTACCGGGCGCTCGTCGGGCCCCTTATATACCTGCTCAGATCCCCCGGGATTGGGGCTCGGTCCGCCTCTCGCCATGGGGGGCCCCGGTGATTGACAGCCTCGTAGTGACGCGCCCTGGCCAATCACCACCGAGCCCCCGGCCGGCGGGCTGGAAAAAAAGTTCGGGGAGCCCTTTCGTTCACCCCCACGCCTCTCTTGGGCCCCGTGACGTCCGAAAGTTATTCAGGAGGCGGGAGTGCCGGAGACCCGCTCAGAGCCCACCAATTAGGGGCTCGGAAAGTTTGAAAGAACGAAACTGGAGGAGGTGCCGGGCGGGGGAGGGGGGGGGGCACGAGCAGGACTGCTAGGGGCGGCTGGGCGCTGAGGGGCCCCCGCGAGGCCAGAAGAAAACTCTGCAGCCCTGTTCAGGCCGAGCGGCGTTCTGTCCCCGACCGGCCCGCAGAGCTTCCCGCGGTCTGCGCGGAGGTCCACGGGCCGCGTCTGTTGCCAGCGCTAGGGACACCGGGCACCGCGGGGCCGCCAGCTCCCGAGGCGGGTTCAGAGTCGCACGGCGCAGCGGAGATGCCCTGGCTGCGGCTCTGAGGAGCCCCCTCTTGCCCGGAGTCGGCCGCCGGCCGCCCGGGCCCTCCTCTGGGACGTGGCGGGCCAGCGCGCCCAGGCCAGAGCGGGGGTTAGGGGCCGGGGGGCGCTGGGCTCACGGGGCGGTGGGCGGGCGAGCGATCGGCGAACACAGGGGCCTTTCTGACGGCCCCTGTCGGGGCCGGCGGAGGCGCTCGCACGCGGGTGTTGGGGGAGTGAGCCGGCCCCGGCTCTCTGGTTCTCGCCCCCCCACCCCCACCCCTTAGCGGCCCCTTTTTGTCTCTGCTCTGTGGCCATTTCGGTTTTTCCAGTCCGATGCCCCCGAGGGGGAGGGTCGGGCCCCTTGGAAAATCCGTTTTCATGGCAACACGGAGCCTCTCGGAGTGAAAGAAAAGTTTCTTGGAGGGGGGGTGGTGGCCGGAGCCGAGCCGGGGCCATCCTCCGGGCGGACCGCCGGTCCCCTCCGCTGGCTGCGCACCTGCCTGGACCCGGCCTGCCGCTTCCCCCGGGAGTAGGCTCCGCTAACGGATGCCGTCCTTCTCCTCCTTGTTTTCCAGCCTTCCTGACCCGGGCGCTGAGACTCAGAGCCGAACACTCACCACCATGTCGGCTTGTCTGTTACAGACGAGCGGCGCGGGAACTCGGACTGCGGGAAGAGGGAATCCGACAATTGCTGCCGCCAGCCCTAGCGAGTGGCACAGTGTTTGAAACTCCCAGAGGCGGCTGGTGGGAAGGCGAAGCCAACCGGGCAGAAGTGGCCGAGACCGAAATAAAGTGTCCGCGCGGTGTGGGGCCTCGGCCCCCCAGCCCCGTGGAAAGGTGGGGAACAAAACGGAAGGCGTGAATCCTAAGTGTGACCCAAAATTCCAGGCTTTTGCATCCTTAGCGTTCATGTCAGATCAGGCGACCCGGGGACGCCCGCACGCCCGGAACTCCCCTCTTTCCTGCACGAATGAAAAAGTGCGCCGCCGTGTTTTGGGGTGGGGGCAGAGCAGGCAGCCCCCATTCTAACGGGTAACGGGCAGACAACTGGCGTTAAAATTCCGGCTCCAGGCCAGCATCACCTCCTGGGAGTTCGTGGTCCCCAAACCCGCTCCAGGCTCCAGCGCCCCTGCCCCCGCCCCCTACATTTGGGTGACACCTCATCTACGTTCTTTTGCCCATCTGGACAGAACAGAAGCAAATGTCCGCGGCTGAGGACTGCAATCAATTGGATGGGTGTATGGATTTAGGATTGAAAGTAAACTACTTGAAAGGGTGCAGTGTATGTGTATATGTGTGTGAGTGAATGTGTATGTGTTTGCGTGCGCGCGCGGGGGGAGGAGTGTGCACAACACTTATCGCAAACAGGCTGCAAGACATGTCTCAGAAAATACAATGATTCTGCGTCCCCCACCTTCACGTGGTTTCTGGGCAAACTGGCTGACAGTTTCCTAGGCAAACCCACCTTCCCAAAAAGGCACCTGTGTGCAGTAGCCCCTGCCCTCGCTGCCTTGCCCAGATGCCCCGTCTCGGTTTTCTGGCTCCCCTAAACTGTTGCTAAGTGAAGCGCGTTTTAGGGAACTACCCAACCGACGCGCGGCCTGGCGTCCAGTAGCTTGACAGATGTCAGGATTCTTTCCAAGTTTTTGGACCCAAATAAGCCGTTGTGGTGGCAGCGCTCTGGGCTGCATATTTCCCAAGGCAGGCATGCGGTGCTGGGCCCTCGCTCCTCCCGCGCCAGGGTATTTAGGGGAACTAGTCACTGCCCCCAGCTGTTTGTCATCTGATCACTCCTACCTAGCGCGCGCGGCTTAGGTGAGCCCTTTTCACATTACATCCTCCTGCCAGATTTACAGCAGTCTTGCGCTAGGATCAGACACCCTCGCCCACCCTCCCGGCCGCCCGCCGAGGCGGTGGTTCAACCGGTCTTCTTGACGGGTGACTCTGGGGTGGTCTGCATAGCCCCAGGTAAGAGCCAGGCCGAATTTCTTTCGGAACTCTTCCGAGGAAACTTTCTGAGCCCAAACCATTTCAGTAAACTAGCAAGGTTGTCTTTGAGAGCGTGAGGAGATGGGGGGCGGGGGGAGGGCTGGAAGGAAACACGTTCTCTGACCCACCATCGGTGTAGGCTCAGGCAACAGCCGAGCGGCGCGATCTCTGCTCGGGGACGGGAGAAGTGTCGCGGCAGGTAACTCGGCCCGAGGTGCAACGGTTCTGACTGGGGCTGCGGGGAGGCAGTGCCGGAACCTCAGAGCCTCCGGCAGGCACCCAGCACCCTGCGAGGAACACACAGGGACGGAGCGGGACCCTGTCCCGGTCCTTTCCCACCTCGCCCTACAGCTTTCTCGCCCGCCCTCGGGGGCCTCCCGGAGTCCGTGGGCGGCGCGCCTAGCCGAGCCCCGGACCAGGAGACCCCCGCCCTTCGCAGAGGCTCCGGCTCCCTCCGCCTGGGGCCTGGCCCGGGGCTCCCAGGACCTAGGGCGCGGCAACAGCGCCGCTTGTCGGCTTCGGGGAGAAACTTCACCCGGAGGCGCCTCTTCCCTCCCTCCGGAGCTCGCCCCGACCCTGAGAGGCGCGGAGGCTGCTGGCTTCGCCTCGGGGCAGACATGGTGTTGGTCCCTAGAAGGTCGGTAATCGCAAAGGCCAGGGGAGTCCGGCCGGCTCCGGATGCGGAGGTCGCACCGGCTCTGCCTTCGGGTTGTGAGTTTGGGCCGAATCCTCTACCAAGGGCCGCATCTCTGCCAGGTACCCTCCTGGCAGTTGTGCCTTAGAGCTGCTGGAAACGAGAGCAGGAGGGGGCGGGGCCCACCCGCGCTGGCGGCCCGCGTTTTATCCTCCTCTGCACCTGCGTCCTGGGGACCGTTCTCAGGCGCCCGGCCCGATGAGGGCCCAAGTTCTTAGAAGAGCGGCCCTCTGCGTGCTGGGTGGTACGGGGCGGGTGCGTGTGTTGTCCCCTCTGGGGAGAGGGCGGCATTTGGGCTAGCCCAGGGCCGCTGAGGCCTGACAAGAGCGCCGGCCAAGGTGGCTCTCGGGCCATGGCCCTCGGGCCGTGGCTAAGCGCTGCCTTCCAGGTTTCTGAAGTGTGCAGCCGAGCCCAGCGCGTGGTCTGGCTTTGAGGAAGTGAGAACGACTTACTCTGGTGACCCCCGGAGACGCTTTGCTTTCCAGTGGACAAAAAGTTTTTCCATCTAAAGGCAGTCATTCCCATTTCTTCCTTGAGAACATCCCCTGACTCTTTACTCTGGCTCCTAGCCAAAAGGAGTGTGTGTTTAGGCCAACGGATCAAGAAATCAGTGGCTTGGGGGCTATTGAGCACCATTTCTTATAAAAAAGGTCGGAAAGGTCACCAGCAACACAGCGGGTGGAAAAGACTGCACCTTCCAGTTTCCACTCTCCCTCAACCTGCAGAACACCCCTCGGTCCCCCAGCTTCCAATGGCAGCACTCGTTCTTACGGTTTTGGGAAGGAGCTAAGGACAGGCGGCCGCAGGTTGCAAACAATACTCTAGTTGATGCTCTCTAGAGAAAGGTTGCTAGGAGCTGCGAGATGTGTGGTGACATGGTCCTCGAGATCCCAAAGGCTGTATTCTATTGCACTTTGATGTAGCTCTTTTGGGGGTGGGGGGTGTAATTTTAAAAGCGAGTTTCCACATTCGATTCACTTGGTCAGCTGAGGTGTACTTGGTTGATACCCTGGGAGTTCCCTCGGCCCACACCTAGGCGCTCAGTTGCAAAGATTCCTTCCATCTACAGGGTATTAAGATGTTAATGACTCTTCTCTGGCGGTGCGGAGAAGGGCTGTGAGGCTTGCGCCGGCCAGAAACGACGAGGAATTGGATAACCTTTGCCTTCAGCGCCTCTTTGCGGACCTTATAACCCAAACACAGCCATCTCTCCGGAAGGAGGAAGGCTCTGCCCAGTACCACTTCCAGGGGGCCTTGCGGATCACAGCCTCTTTGCCTCCCTCCCCTCCCCGCTCCCATTCCCTGCCCCACCCCCGCACCTCTCCGCGTGCGCTCAGCTCTCCAGGCCGCCATACCTACACCCCTGCGGAGCGGCCTCCCGGAAGCCGGCACCCTGTGGTCAGGCCTCCCCTCCCACCGGACCTATCGCCTCGGCCACTTCCTTCGGTGGCTGCAAAGGCACGGCCATCGCTTCTACAGCGTTGGCGAGGCCTGCAGGAAGCCAGGACGAGGAAAAGAATCATAAACTCGTTATCAGTACGTATTGTTGTTGAGCTATTCCACGTCTCCGTAAATCCACAGCTAATTTATACAGCGGAGGGCGCAGGGCCGTCCGGCCTGGCAGCGCTCTCCGAGGAAGGGTGCCTGGAAAACCACCGGGCTTCTGGCACCTCCGGTGGGACCAGGCCTGCTCACGGGCCCTGACGGCAGGGGGCGCAGGAGGATGGGGCGGGGGTGCGGGGAGCGTCTAGGGAGTGGAGAACAGTTGACATTTCAAGGCAGCATACAACTATTCTTTTTTCCTCCCTAGTTTTTTTTCCGACATGCTCTT